TATATATATATATATATATAATCACATTAAGAATTCTTTTGTGGGGAAATAAAAACTGATCGGCCAAGACCGTCTACTTCTAGGAATTAATCCCCAGAGAATAATTTGAAATGGGATATATCAATTTATATACAAAGATGTTCACATCAGTCTTATGAATGTTAGTACAATTTTTATTTTACTAATTTATTTATATTAGTAAAAACAACTTAATATCCAACAGCAGAGGGTTGGTTTAAGTAATGGTACAATATATAACAGAATACTATATAGCCATTAAAAATCATGCCGTAGAATTTTTATTAAAATGAAAACTTCTAAATACATCATTAAGTGAAAAGGATAAGTTACAACAGTTATGGGCAGTCTGAGCAGTACTGTTACCTTTAAATGGCAGGATTACAGGTGATTTTTCTCCTTTTGTTTTTCAGTTTCTTCCCTCTTCTACAAATTTTTTTAAATAAAGCTTTCCTAATTTCCTACAATGATTTTGTAATTAGGAAAAAATGCTTATAGCTGACTCTAAGCTTGCTTTACAACTTGGAATTAATGTAACTATGGTGCTAGTTACTTTGGTACAAATCCAAGAAATACTTCAACATGGGTTTGGAAAGAGTTATAATGAGGTAAAAAAGTCACCATTTTCCAAGAATCTTAATAATAAAATGTTAAAGACACTTCTTTGTTTATCAAAAGAATTTATTAGAAAATATTACATACTACATATCTGTTTAAGAGTATTGTTTCAGTAGACAGCACTCCATCCTCGTACTACAAACAACGTCTCGTGGACCGTGGGGCAACCACTGTGCTTCTGAAGCTACATCTTTTGGATGGAACATTCAAACAGTACACACTGTGGCCATTTAAAGGAAGATAATGGAGAAAATGTGGTAATTACCAGAAAAAAAAAAAAAAATCACAAAACTTTTGGAATGTTAAAGTAATAAGTAATTACTTTTAGTCTCAATTTCTAGGCACTAGCCTAAAACATTGGTCAGTGTGACTAGTAAGTTAATGGGACCAAGGATTCAAAGGTCAAGTTAATACTGAATCTTAATAAATAACGAGAAATCTGTAACCCCACAAGATGTTTTTGTGCACATGCAAAATTAAATTTCTGAAAAAAGCAAGAATGGGGAATGTTAAAGCATTGTTTTTTGAACATAAAGCATGCACTTTCTAATACATTCTTAGATATTTCTAAGTTTTAAAAGTCTGAATTCTAATCCAGTAACATTCTTCATTAGCATTTTAAATGCAGTCTAACCAAGTACCCCAAAGCAGATATGGAATACACACTTGTTATTTTCAAGAAAGGTAGAAATAATTCATGGCACTGCTACCAAAGATGTGAGACTTTAACTCTGGACCTCCACCTAGTTTTTTCTTCAAAACTTTTAAGCATGTTTGCAAAGCTAAATGGTAAAAGCAAATTTTAAAATGTAACCCTACTCCCAAACATCACTGAAAGAAAATGCAGGAAAAGTATGCCCTGTGTGATTATCTTAGGCAATTTGCTACAAAATTTTCAAAGTGTGAACCTGCTTTAACTGAAAATAGTTTGAAAGTTCACACAATTGTTTCTAGAGTCCAAAACAAACAAATGAGGTGTGTGCTGATATTTAAAAGTCCTAATATTTTATTAGAATATACTTCCAAACTTCTTTCCCCTTCGTATCTAAACACAAACTTTAATTAAAAATATATATATAAATCAGTAGAATACCATATTACAAATGCCCAGAAATGCAGAATAAAGATCAAGAACTGCTTGGAAATATTTCTAACACTTTTTGGGATTACATTCATAATCTAATAAAGATTATGAACTAGCACAATCATTATTGGGGCCAACAATTCAAAATATTTGCCTTATCAAAGCTAGCACCAAGAAAGTATTATGCACATAAACTTGAGAACCAGATCATCTTTACTTCAGAAAAGCACAGTCCTACAGAGTACTGCTCTCTAGTGTAGCTAGTAAAAGGGTCAATCTGTCTCACTGAGGCATACGTCTATCAGAGGCATTAACATCTTATCCGAACAGCTTTCCAGTTATTTGGTATCTATTGAAAATTGTTACTGGAATGAAAGACAGTTTATTATGGATATAACTCATTTTTTCTTCTAAGATGCCAATTAAAACAGTGGCTCTCTAACACTCTGAACTTACCTTTTGTAAAAATTAACATATTCTAGTATTTAAAAAAAGACAGTCAAATCCCTAGTCCCTGAAAGCCTAACCAAGTCCATTATTTAATTCCTCTCTCTTTCCAAAACACAGGTTTTAATGTCGAGAATTTTGCAACATGGTTAATGGCTACCACATGGTCACCTAATTAACACTTTATTCACTGTAAAGCATTTGGAGACTTCTCAAGTGTGAAAAGAATTTCATTAGTGGATTAGATAGATGAGCAACTGAAAGCCACTGAAGTGAGTTCCATAAGTCTACCTTCGTCCCAAGGAAGGGAGGGTCACTACTCAACAGCAACTCTCCGGTTGGCACAAATAATTTATCATTTCTCTGATAGGTAGGAGGTATCATGAAAGAACGTAATTTTTACAAATTTTTACATACGAACACTTTTCCAAACTGATCTGTTAAATTCAACAGAGTTTCAGACTTCCATAGTTGTAAATCTAGCAAATCAAACTGCTTCATCTCAACTGGGGGGAAAAAAAGGCACAAAAGAAAAACAAGCAGCATAACCTTTATTTGGTGATACAGTAACAGTGTTCCAAAGTTTTGAACACTGAATTTTACTCATGTGATAATCTGTTTTCTATCTAGGCAATTTATTCAGATGTGTGCTTTAAAAATACACATTAGGAACCCTGCAATTGGTATATTCTGTTATTAGAAATATTTTTCATGGTAATACATTATTTAACTTTCTATAATTAGAGGGAAAAATCATAAAGATCATACTTTATTTTTAGCCTGACAGAATAAATGTATCATATATATCTTTTCCAAAACCAGTGCACTTAGAAGACTCTAATTTATGCACTCCACTGTTCAAATCAAAAAGCTGTACATCTTCCAGTATCCACACTATAACACAGTCCTAGTAAAAATGCACACTCCTTTAACCCCTTTACTTTCCCTTGAATTTGCTTTTATTTTCGGGAGGAGGAAAGGATAAAGAAGTTGCAGTGCAGAACTATATTTATTTAGAACAAAACTTTGTATTCTACATTAAAAAAAATAATTTTATCAAAACCAAATTTCAATCACAGTTATGTATGATTTTCAGTTAAAGGTACATGTTGAAATTGCACTTTGCAGATATCTTGACAGTGTCCTTTATAGTGCTCCCCATTTCAACCTATGTTTTTTTCGGTAGACACAGGTTCTTCCAGAGTTTTCTTTTGGCTTCCCTTCCGTGAATATTTGTATTTGTCTACATAGGCTTTAACCAGATTTGCCACTTTAGTAGAATTTACTTCTCCACTCTTACTATGACAAACCTATGAAAAAAGGAGGGGGAATATTTTTCTCATACTTAAAAGGATTACAGCAAAATGGAAAGCTTTTTGAAAAACAACCCCTAAAAGATAATCAGACATTTTTGTATGTTTCATATCTCATATGAACTTATTTGAAAGGTAAAAAAGCAGACAAGAATTAGAAGTTAGTGCTTATTATTTTAATTAGACTTAAGCATTTCTTTATTAAAATAGAGATGATTCAAAACAATACATACATAACAATGCTAAAGCTATAGAACTTACTTTATCCACTGCTTTCCGTACAATCTCTTTATATTCTTCCTTGGTGATATCTTTATTTTGGTAAAATGGCTTAATGGCCAATTTTACCTCCTGTGCTGCTTTTTCTTGGATTTGTAATTTCTGGTAAGAGGAAAAAGTATAATTATTATTTGCCCAATCACATACTTTCAAAAAAGTTCTTTAAAAATATGAAATTGAAAACACACTTTTACATTATTGCAAAAATTCTTCAAATATTAGTATCATAAATACAAAAGTTATTTATTAACACACATATCAAACATTTCTAAAAATAATCATGAAATACTACCAGTAACTCATTGGACATCAACATATCTAGACAGAACCCTTCAAATAGCATTGGAATTTAAGACTATCAACAGTTAATTCCCTTTCCCAATTATACAAAACAAAACTGGTATTTTTTCATCTTTATCATATACAGAATATGTAGGTTGCTCTCAACCTTGAACTTGCCTTGTCTGTCTTCGAGCTATCTGCGCTGGCTTCCACTGTAACACTTACTTTGCTTTCTGTCAATTTTACAGCAGCATTAGAGGATTTGCTGTGACTTGATGACGAAGTATTACCAGAACTTGGTCCCTGAACTATTCCCGAATTTCCTGGGGCTGCTGTTGGAGCAGGCAAGACTGGTGTACTCATGTTGTTACTTACATGAGAAGCACTAGGAATACCCTGTTTTAAAGAGTTATCATCAGTTAATTATTTGTATTCAATAGAAGTCTTTTAGTCATTAGAAATAACAAAAAAATTCAAAGTGAGTCAACCTCAGTACTTAATTCTTATTTCAGGTCATGTATATCTAAGGGACTCCAAAGAAAAATGAGTAACATTCTTAAACAGAGACCTATGTAAATATGTTAAGTGACTTTTAAATTACACTTGCGAACTGTAATGTTCTGACAACACGAAAAACAACAAGAAGGAAAAGAACAGCATTTAAAGAATAGTAACTTTCCTGAAAGGCTCTTTATGAAAATTAACTAAAGTATGAGCCCCCACTTTAAAGATGGGAGAAAAGGAGACAGTGAAGTCAAATGGCTTGCAGAGAGCTGACAGGGGGAAAAAAAAAAAAAAAGGAGGTCCCAAATTCTGGAATCCTACTCCCCTTATCTTCCAACTATACACTGCTTTCTAGGATTTGTGAAATGTAGGCACAGAACTATAAGGAACACAGTGTTTACAAACTATTATTCAAATTTTCTATATGCTTCAGTCACTTCTTTCTTTTTAGCATAGTAAACTCAGTGAAAATGAAACACAGATGGTAATGGATAATGAACAGCTTTATCTGGCATTTGTCCCAACAAGACAATATAAGCTTCATCACAAGTTCCCACCCCCTTAAAAGTCCAATAAAGTAGAGAATTATTTTAAAGCACCCACCAGTTGATTCTAATTTGGCTCATAATTTGATCTTAACTTGAAAAAGCAAATCTGTTTGGACATCAACAACAGTATATATGTAGCTTAGATTTGATAATATGCATTCAATTCATTTTCTTATTTGAGGGGTGGGAGGTTTGAGGAAGGACAGTGAAGGGAGGCTATAAAGGTTTACCATAAACCTAATCAAATAAATAAATAAATGTTTGTGGATACCAGGAAGCCCTTTCTTGCACATCTGTCCCTAACAGTTAAATGCTTATAATGGCTATGTTGATTAAACTTTAGATGCTAAAAACATACCTGCAATTGCTTTCCATCTGGCTGTGAAGCAATGTAGCTGACTTGTTGGCATGGTGGGGGAGGGGGTGGTGGCGGTGGGAGTCCCTGAGATACACTAGTAGGAGCAGCTACCTGCATGAGAGGCACGCCTGTGTGCAGATGCAAGGGTAGCTGAGGATGAATGTTAAATGGATTGCGCTGGATGTTCATCAAAGGAGCATGAACACCCACTGGATATGGGAAGATATTCATAGGCTGTTGTGCATTCATCTGTTGCTGCATTACATTCATTTGTGGCTGCATCATATTTATAGGTAGCTGAGAACCATCTCCATGTTGGTTTGTTTGGTCTTTTAGGTTAGAATCTATCAAAAGAAAAAAGGCTTGTGAAGAAAAATCATGTGCAAACTTCTTTAGCCAGAGAAGCAAAGAACCAGTGATTATAGTAAGATTAAATAGCAATGAACAGACTCAGAACACCTAAACGAATCTCCAATCATTTAGTTTAATCTTGTCATTTCTAAATAATGTGGGCTGATTTTCTAACTAAAAAAAAAAAAATCAAAATTATTTTTAAGAATAAGTTCACATAACAACATCTGTTGACATTAGCAAAGAATCAGTACCTCACGAAATCTGCTAAAGAAATAATCCTATAAAATTTAATTAGATTACTGAATTAGAAGGTTAACCATTTTTTTAATCTTTAACAGCTTTTTTCTTGCCATATTCTTAACAAGAAAAGCCAAGGAGAAATAAATCATTATTAGAAAAATAACTTATTTATATGAGAACAATGATCAATAAAATCTAAGTGCACAGGTCTGAGATAAAAGAAATAGAAGTTAAATCCTGCACAAGAACGTCCCAAATTCTTCTATTGTAGCAAACTAGCAAACTGTACTTACAGAACTTAAGTCTTTGGCAAGGTCGGGGGAGGGGGGCGGTGAAAAAGGCAGTAAATACTGATGTGTATATATATCTATATAATGCAAAATGACTTAGGGATTCAATTTAACATTATAAAACTATAAACACAGATCATTACAATTCATATAAATAAGAGATTAAATTTATAATCTCTTTCTTCACATAAAACAGTGTTAATAAACAGAATATATTACCTTGTTCAGTTGTTTCCTCTTCTTGTCTCATCCATCCAGACTGTGGACCTGAAGAATTCCTCCCTCGTCGGGAATAATAGTTTTGCACATCTGCCGGTAGAGTCTTTCTCACAGCCCAACTAGATGCAGATGTCCACCCAGATCTATCTGCCGGTGTATCAAATGAAAACTCTTGCTCATTTTTCCGTTTATAGGGTTGTTGTTCCACAAACTTGAAAGACTCATTCCCTGAACTATTCGAATTCCCTGAGAGGGGTTTTCGGTTTTGCCACCGATTTTCACTTTGATCTGTAGAGGCAAAACCACCTCTGTAAGTGCCTCTGCCACGGTTACCTCTACCACGGTTAGACATCCAACCTGAACCAAAGTTTTTATTCCAAGAATTCCCTGAATTTTCATTTCTGTTTTCTTCCCAGTGAGAATCTTTTAACTTTTCTGGATTCCTGGTCCTTGGATCAGGCCCAGAATTTATTTTTTCTATTACCCAACTGGGACAGTCATTTCTGTGTTTGTCAGCAGAATTTGGATCATCAGCATCGGAACTGTCATTTTTTTCCTTTCTTGTATTTTCATTCTGTTTCTCTGGGTCATTCTTTCTGTACCGATCATTTCCTCGTGGACATCTCCAACCATCATTTGCCCATCTTTCCTTCCACCGAGGAGAGTAAGTGTCTCTGTCATTTCTACCAAATGATGAACTCTTAATTTTTGTTCTAGATCTTGATGGTGACCTAGAACGAGATCTGGATCTAGACCATCTTCTGGTTCTCCTTTCTCGATCTCGATCTCTCCTTGGCCCATCTCTATCACTTTCTCTTTCTCTGCTCCGGGACCTGGATTTTTCCCTTGGGGAGGAATCTTTCACTCTTGACTGAGATCTTCTGTTTTCTCTGGAAGTGTCTCTTTTGGGGGAGAGTGATACAGATCTTTTGCCTTCCCTTGTACTATCTCTTTTTGGAGATCGAGACTGAGATCGTCTCCTTTCTCTTGCGATATCCTGTTTTGGGGACTGAGAACGAGATTTCCTACGTCCTCTTGCAGATTCTTTCTTGGGAGACTGTGATTGAGACTTCCTGCTTTCTTTTCCAGTTTCTCTTTTGGGAGATGGAGACTGAGACCGCTTCTTTTCTCGTGCAGTATCTTTGTTGGGAGACCAAGTTGTAGAGGGGGAGTGAAATCTAGATCTTCGGGTACGAGGCTTTTTGGCTTTCTCTATCACGTCTACTGGGCTTTCAGATGGTTGAGATACAGTTTCAGCTTTTCCACTGGCAGGATCAGAAGATGGCGTATTACTTTGAGAACTGTGCTCCACAGAATTTTCATTCAATTGTTTAGTATCAGCATTTACAGAAGGTTCAACTTCAGATTCATTCTGGTCACTGCAAAATGAATCACATTCCATAGGTATCATTTCATTATTGTCCTCACTAAAATGCTTCTGAATTTGTTCAATGTGTGTGTTAGGCAATTCTGTAGATGTGGGATGTTCAATAGGAGATTCAGTCTTTTCTCCTAAACATTTGTCTAATTTGGTATTAAGATTATTTTTTAATAAATTATTTTCAGAGTCTTGAATACTATTGGAATTTTCATTCTCTGAAGTATCACATGCTGCAATTACTTCTACATCTTCAGTTTCAACATGCCCAGGCAATTGAACCTCTGAGCACTCTATGGATTTTTTGTCCACTGTTTGCATAATTTTACCCTCTGAAGATTCTAATTTAGGGCTGTCTACAAGCTGTTCTGTTTTTACTGTTGAATCTTTATGATCAATAATTTCTACTACAGGACTCTGCATAACTTTTGCTTCATTAACCACTGACTCTGCATTCTCTGGTAACTCACCTAAGCTTGGTACAGGTTCGTCTACTTTAATTTCAGATCCTGAACATGTAAGAAAATCATTTGAACGATGATTTGTACATTTATCCACCTTTACCTCTGATTCTGAAGGTCCAGATGTTTGGTCTTGATCTTCTAATGGATCATCTCCTTTTCCAGAAATATTTTTAGGAGTCTCACTTTCTAAACGTAGAACATTAGCCTCTATACTTGTATTCTCAACTTTTTGAATGTCCTCTTCCTCTCCAACTAGTACAGGAGGATCTTGGGTATGAGACTCAGAATATGAAGATTCCACTGCTTCCTCTGTATCATGGTTCTCAGTATGTTCCTCACTTTCTTCTACCTGCTCACTGCAACTTCTGAAGTCATTAGCAGACTCATTTTCTACACTTGCCTGCACAGTACAACTGTTACTACTTTCTACATCTGATTGGAGCTCTTTCTCTAACACAGGTGGTGTGTCAGATTCTGCTGTTTCTTCATCTACTGACTCACTGGAAGATGATTTTTCAGGGGGAGGTATAGAGCTCCTAAGTTTCTTTTTCAATAAAGGTGGTTTTCTTCCTCTTCTTACAGACTTCCGTTTTGGAGCCTGTCTTGTCTGCTTTTCTGACGCAGCTGAAGAGGAAACACTTACAGATGGATTGTTGTTATCTGGGGCATCACACCCAGAATTATTTGATACTGGGGATCTCTGAGACTGACTGACTGTTTCAGCTCTTGTGTTACGTGTCGATCTCCTTGTAGGAGTTGTTGCTGCAGGTTTTCGTCTTGTTCCTCTGGTGTTTGATGTACCAGAAGTTTGCTTCTTCTCTTCTCCTTCTTGAGTATGTGCTAATGCATATCCCTTGCAAGAGGTACCTAATAATATATGTATTTTAAAAAGTAAAAAGTAAATATATGTTTCAATAAATGAGAATTGTTTGGCTTCAGGTTATGTTAGCATAAAATAAATGTCTATAACAGAGTGAAACGAAATACACTTATGAATCAAGTTATGAATAAATGCATAGCTACTAACATCTAAGTAATACCAGGTATTTATCAGGTTCTTTTAATGCTACAGAAATGAATTATCACAAGATTTGAATTCTTGTGGGCAATCTATAGGGGAGAAAACCAGAAGAAAATATGTTTGGTTTGATAACTACCACTGCTTTATGAATAGGCATTACCTAGGCAAAAAACAAGAGAAAACAAGTTACCCACAAACATATAAAGACTGAAACTATTTGTTCATAATTAATAGGAGATGTAACTTCTAAAGATCTACATTTTGGACACTGAAGCCCTAAACAGAAGGAAGACTTCTAACCAGTTCCTCAAAGATTTGAAGATGTAATTTCTTAAAAGTAAAAAAGATTTTCTACTTGGAACAATTTAAAAGTCCAGTCACTGACCAAATATTTACAGAAATATCTAGGACTTACTATCTTTACCTTATTTTATAGCTTTTCTAAGTCATTAACACTCACTTTCTGGATACGGAAAGAAACTAATAATAATTTTTTAAAAACTAGAAAAATTACACAAACTTTACCAAAATTTTCTAAAGATATGGTACTTGTTGGAAAAATAGTTCTTGGCAACACAGAAGAGATGAGAGGAAGCACTTGTGTTTCAATATTCCAGGGTATAAAACCAATTCTGAAAATTCAAAACAAAAAAAAGACATTTAAAAAATTACACCAACAATTTAAAATTATTAATTTCCCAAATCAGGTTAGCAACTTTAAAATACAGTGTACTTAAATCAGTTTTTGCCAAAATAACTAAAAATGTAAACTCAAGGTTACTCACTGTTCAAAGATGGCTAACAACTGGCTGCACAGACAAAACCCTTAAAAGCATTAATAGCAAAAGGAGATCAAGGACAACTTCATATATAATACATGATTCTCTTTTAAATAATGTAATATTTTGTGAAGACTTTCTTTTTAGCTTCTGCTTTTCTCCATTCTAAAAAAAATCAACTTGGATAATAAAATGTATAGATAAACAAAATACACAGACTTTAAGTGTACAGTTTGATGACTTCTGACTGATGTATATATCTGTGTAGCCACCACCATCCCCAACCAGAAAGTGCCTTCATGCCCCTTGCACCTACCCGTCTCCCTTTCTGGGCGAAGAGAAAATTTAGCCAAGTTAACCAAATCAAGGTTTAAAAGAAATCAGCAAGATTAAAAAGAAATCAGTCCATGAATAAATAACAAAACTTGGAAACAAAACTGTTATCACTTGACTTTGAAGCATATCATACATACATGGGTTATATTTTTTGCTACATTTGTTTTATAGCACGTATCAAAAGCAAAAATATCAAAATAAATACATTTTTTAAAAAGGAAAAAAAAGAACTGATTTCTGTTGTTCTTTAGTATTGTAAAGTTCCTCAATCTAAGGACGATGGCTCTTCAAAGCTCCCAGTGTCCCTATTAAGTTTCTGCATCCAAAACCAATCCACTCTCAGCTTTTTTTCTGATTCATATTTGTTCAGTTCAGATCCCCTAATTAAAAAAAAAAAAAAAAGCAACTACTTTATCCCAGTATAAGGTTAGATTCTGGAGGAGGAGGAGAAAAGCTTCAAAAACAATGTGCAACTTACTACACATACACAAAAATATTTAACTCTGTAAGATCTCATACATATCCGGACTTCCTAATTTCACTTCTATTTATATTCCACTGTCATTCCTAGAGGGAAGGCCCTATGCAGAACTATATTACAGTATTATATAAGATAAAGTTATAATGTTAGAGGAATGAGAGTGGCAAGGACTTCAATCTTTATGTAGGAACTTGATTTAAGTATATATAGAATACACCTAGCAATGTGACAGTAGCTTTAGGACTTAAACTAAGAAAAGAAAGAACTACATTACAGAAAATCATGAATGCCAGGGCAGAGTATAAAGACTCGGTCAAATAAATATTAAGAAGAATCTTTTGGAGGGGAAATGTCATGACCAAAGTAGTGTGTCAGCTAACAGCACACAGGTTAAAATTCGAATGGGCAAAACAACAGAAGGATGACAGATCTGAATGCTATTATTAATAATGAATCTTATCATTTTGGTGCTCTCCCTTTTATTTCTTTTTAATTTTTATTTTTTTAATTTAAATTCAATTATCCAATGTATAGTACATCATTAGTTTTTGACATAATGTTCAACAATTCATTAGTTGCATACCCAGTACTCATCACATCACGTGCCCTCCTTAATGCCCATCACCCAGTTACCCCATCCCCTCACCCACCTCCCTTTCCTCAACCCTCAGTTTGTTTCCAGGATTCAAGAGTCTCCCTTTAAATGACTCAAATATCTACATTTATTAAACAGATAAAAAAGATACTTTTCAAGGGGGTCTTTAAATAGCCATCTTCTTTAGGCAGTTGAGAGACACCAAGTTTAATTTGCACAAAACTTTCTTAGAAACACAACTATTGATTAAGATACCTCTGTTACTTAAGTATAAGTATTAATGACATCTTCTGCTCATTGTTAGCATGTAAACACTTTGGTAAAAAAAATTTTTTTTTACCTTCCAATTCCAGGTGATGTATGAGGAAACCATGACAATTCCAATTCCTGTCTCTTCTGTCTAATCAATGCACTCATTTCATCGATCTCTATAAATTCTGTACTAAAAGATAAATTTCAGACCTTCATCAGAATTCCAAATATTTAAGTTCGGCATAACACCTAGGTTATATCATGATAGCAAAAATTTTTGTACCTAGCATTATAAACCACATTTAAAAGAGTAAGAACCTTCTTCTAAACATTTCAATATGAACTCATTTCTAATGTAAAATTTATTACAAATCAAAATTCTATTTATCTGATTCACAGAAATAATGCTTGAATTGATATCTTGAAGTGACAGAATTTTTAAAAAGTCAATTCAGAATAATATCCTTATTACTGAGAGAAAAAAGCAACACTATTTTCTACCCCATGGATCAAAGCTACAGCAAGCAGTCCCAGCAGAAACTGTATCTGCAATAGTTTCCCATCTGAAACTAAGTGTAAGCCAAAAGGAAAAAATAAAGGAAGGTATAGTTCCTATAACCAAAATTGGGTATATACCGTTCAGCTTTTCAAAAGGCTACTCTGATGTAATTTTTGTCTTTGGTACCCTGAGCCAAGCACTAAAATTAAATCACACAATCTTAATCTGTCTTGTTCATTCAACTAAAGCTAGGTGATTTTAAAACCCCAACTTAATCTTCAAATTCCACAAATATTTACTTAGTAATCTACATGCCAGTCACTACAGATTCAAAGATTACTGGATCTACCCTAAAAGGGTTCTGCTTGATTACAATTTAATAAGTAGCTTACTTCTCCATCACATAAAAAGCCTGTGTAGAACAATTTATTATTAATGAAAACAAAACCCACTAGATCGTAGGCAGTCACTGCATACTAGAGAGGGTCACAAAATAGCAGGTTTTCTCTTTGCTAGAACTAGTTTATTTTCCAAAAGAAACAAAAACAAAAAACAAGGTGGGCTTTCATGTTTGAGCCAGAACTTAAATTTTTACCAAAAGTTAATTATAATAATGAAACATCAAGAACAAACACATAAAGTAGAAAATACTAACCAGTAAGTTCTACAGGTAAAAGAAGATTCTCCAGTGTGACTACCAGAAGAAAACATATTGGAGAAAATATTTCTGAAGCACTGACTGGTACACTGATTTGATCTTCGAGGCTAGAAAGGTAAAAACAAGTTAGTAAAACAGCAAACAAAAAATCCTATAACTAATAGCTATATTTAAATATTTTGATATAGCTGAATTATAGAGTTATGTACTAAACAACCAGAGTGTTTTTATCTAAAAGATTTTACATGAACAAACCTTATTTATTTTAATTGTTGCATTTTTCTTTCCTTCCATTTCACTGTGTGCAGAATTTCCTGTACAAAGACATAAAAAGACTCAGTTAC